CAATTCATATGACTAAGAAATGTAGAAGTAAGCTTGAACTTGGTGTTGTCCCTAATGCACAGGTCAACCTGACTAATGGGAAATTTATTGCTATAGTCATTGAAATCAACATGGTTGATGGATATGTTGGTTGGTGGATAGACACTTGTGTCTCTCGTTGTGTCTGTTATGATCGTGTTATATTTAAAATATACATGAATACTAAAGATAAGAAAGTGTTGTTGGGAGATGGCCAAACCACGAATGTTGTTGGAATTATAGACATGGAGCTAAATTTCACCTTCAAAAAGACTTTAATCTTAAAGAACGTTATGCATGTTCCTAAGATTAGAAAGAATATTGTTTCTGGTTTTCTTTTAAGTAAGACAGGGTTTAGTCAGTCTATTGAGGTAGATTTGTACGCCATTACGAAGAATAAAGTTTATATGTTTAAAATTTTTGTAAAGAATTTGAAAATGATATAATAAGAATTTATAGTGATAGAGAAACTGTATGATTCTAGTTTATTAATGAATTTTATACATGGAATTGTACATTAAATGACTACACCATACTATCTTGCAATGAATGGTAAAGCAGAAAGAAAGAATAGAACTCTTACTGAACTTGTTGTTGCAACTATGATTAATTCTTGTACTACACCTCACTGGTGGGAGGAAATTTTATTGACGGTTTGTTATGTCTTGAATAGAGTCCCCAAGTCAAAATGTAAGATCTCTCCTTATGATATATTAAAGAAAATACAACCAAACTTATCTTATTTGAGAACTTGGGGTTGTCTGGCTTATGTCAGAATTCTGGATTCGAAACGAGTTAAACTCGCTAGTAGAGCATGTGAATGTGTTTTCATTGGGTATGCAGCAAACAGTAAAGCATATAGGTTTTATGACCTAAAGGCAAAAGTGATCATAGAATCAAATGATGTTGAATTCTATGAAGACAAATTTCCTTTCAAATTGAGAAATAGTGGGGATTCACAATCGAGTCACATTCCTGTGATAAGAAGCAAAAAAAGCAACGACAATATAGAAACTGAACTTTGACGAAGTAAACGAGTAAGAGTTGATAAAGACTATGGGCCTGATTATGTGGCTTATAATGTAGAAGAATATCCAATGAATCTTCAAGAAGCCTTGTCATCTCTGGATGTTGATTTATGACAAGAAGCTATCAATGATGAGATAAAATCTCTAGAATCTAACAGGACCTAGAACTTAGTAGACTTGTCTCCTGGTTGCAAACCAATCGATTGTAAATAGGTTTTGAAAAGAAACTAAAACCTGGTGGAACTATTAATAAATACAAGGCTCGTCTTGTTGCCAAGGGTTTTAGACAAAGAGAAAATATAGATTTCTTCGACACCTTTTCTCCTGTCACTAGAATTACATCCATTAGGGTACTTATTTTAATAGCTGCTATTTATAACTTAATAGTACACCAAATGGATGTTAAAACAAATTTTTGAAATGGTGACTTAGAATAAGAAATCTACATGGAACAACCGGAAGGGTTTGTGATCCATGGACAAGAAAACAAGGTCTGTAAGTTAGATAAGTCTTTGTATGGGCTAAAACAAGCTCCAAAGCAATGGCATGTAAAGTTTGATAACTTAATAATATCGAATGGATACAAAATGAATGAAAGTGACAAATACGTTTATTACAAATTTGAGAATTACAATTGCACTATGATATGTCTATATGTAGACGATCTACTTATATTTGGATCAAACATTCAGGCCATTAATGATATGAAATCATTGTTGTGCAACAACTTTGATATGAAAGACCTCGGAGAAGCGAGTGTGATTCTTGGTATCAAGATCACGAGACCCGAGTAAGGAATTTCTTTGGATCAATCACAATATGTGAAAAAGATCTTAAAGAAATATAATTACTTTGACAGTAAACTTGTGAGCACACCAAATGATCCAAGCGTGAAGCTGTTTAAGAACACTAGTGAAAATGTTAGACAAACAGAATATGCGAGCATGATTGGAAGTCTTAGGTATTCCATTGTTTGTACTAAACTCGACATTGCATATGTCGTGGGATTGTTGTGCAGGTTTATTAGTAGACTGAGTAATGAACATTGACAAGCTATTGAGCGAGTCATACGGTACCTTAAAAGGACCATGAATCTCAATTTACATTATAAGAGATTTCCTGTTGTACTTGAAGGATACAATGATGCAGATTGAAATACCTTGTCTGATGATTCCAAAGCAACTAGTGGCTATATATTCAACATAGCTAGAGGAGTTGTATCTTGGAAATCAAAGAAACATACTATCCTGAGAATATAGCATTAGCGACTGCTAGTGAAGAAGCAAGTTGGTTAAGATGCTTGCTAACTGAGATTCCCTTTTGGGAAAAACATATGTGAGTTGTGTTGATCCACTGCGATAGTACCACGGCTATTGCAAAAATTAAGAACCATTATTATAATGGTAAAAGACGTCAAACTAGAATAAAGCACAACATTGTTAGAGATTGTATCTCTAAAGGAGTTGTAAGAGTGGATCATGTACGCACTGATGAAAATTTAGCAGATCCTTTGACGAAAGAATTAGCTAGAGAGAAAGTCTATAATACATCATATAAGATGTGACTAATGCCTATAGGAAAATGAGTTGCTCACGATGGTAACTCGATCTAAATGACTGGAGATCCCAAGAAATAGGTTCAATGGGTAACAACAAGTTGTAAGTAATATGAGATGATCATGCAAGTAAAGCATGAGTCCCGAAGTAATAAGAGGGTGAGATAATAGAAACTCTTAATGAGATCTATACTTTGTATGAGGGAGTACCTAGGCTACAGGAGTACTCTTGATAGACTCACCTATGTGATTGTGGAACTTAGGTCGGTTTCTGTGGAATTTCGAGGCAGAATTCCTAGAGCCTTCATTAAACTGGGATACACGTGCAGGACCATTAAAGCATGGGCTATTAGAATACACCTTAAAAAAAGGTTGTGTGCGGATTTGATGTCTGAGATAGAGTTCAAGACATTTGTGTCACTCTTGTTAAATTGGAATCCTACTTGTTATGCAAAGGTTCAAGTCGTAGACACCTTTGTTTATGCACAATCTTAGAAACGTTTGACGTTACTTCTAAAATCAATTTTTTAAATTCAAGTGGGGGATTGTTGGAACATGTCCATATTCTAATCTGTTGAATTTAAAAATTTCTCAAGTCCCACATTGTTAGAATATCCTTTTGGTTGAAAAAACCATTTAGTCTCACATTGCTCATGTGAGAAATATTAACTAACTTACTTCACTATATAAGGAGTGCACATGTTTCATTCCAAATTACACAAAAAAACTATTCTATTAGTTTTTCCTCCCTCACTCTTATAACTCCGCGTCTCTCGAATTGTCGAAGCGCCATTTTCTCCCCCTTTCTTCCTACTCGTTGAATTTTCCGAGTATTTTCTTGAATTCTCTTTAAAGAATTATGTTAATTTCTTCTCATTTGAGTTGAGAAACTTTCAAGTTTAATCTTTTGGATTCTCTTTGGAGAATTATTTGAATTTCTCTTTGATGGAGAAATTATTATGAGTGGTCAAATGACCATTATTAATTTCCCTTTGAAAAATTATTTGAGTTTTTCTTGTTTGAAAAATTATTATGACTGGTCTTTGTACCAGATACTACAGTATAGAACTGGACTGTTTTATCCTAGAGACGGCGCGGTAGTTCGACTGCTTTACATAATTTTGAACAGTACTGCAAAACGTCTTAAAGAGAGCGACCTAGTCCGCGACATAGCCTAATAATTTTTTCGGTGACAAATATTTCAAAATCCGAAAACAACAACTCCTTAATCCTTACTACTAACCAATGAAACCAATGAAGTAATATTGTGAGTGTAATCTTCCGGGATGTGGATCAAAATGAAAGAATAGCTTTCATTTTGGTTACAAAACCACTCCCTTATTTTTCATTTTGACTAGTTCCAGTAATAATAATAATAATGGGATGGGATTATATTATTTGAATCAAATTTTAAAGAAAATCTGAGAATGAGATAAAACATTTTCTGCAGGCATTTAACTCATCATACTTGCTATTACAGCCATCAAGATAAATATTTTCTGCAAGCATTAACTCAATAAATTAAATTAAATAACAAATAAAATAAAAATTTATAATTTAAATCTTCTGCCACACAAGTTATTTCAAATTTTGTACTCTTAACAGAATTCAACTGTCCGTTGAAAGTCGTGGTCTCAAGAATTTCCATTAATGTTTATATTTCCTAGAATACAAAACTCATTAAGAGATGTCTCAAATTATTTTTGAATTGTCTCACCCTTATTGTTTGATAAAAACTAAACCATGATGAATCATAGAAGAAAAGTTCTTTTAATGGCTTTTAACCTTTCCATGAGAACTCATTGAAATCGAGTCAACTAATTTGATACTCCAGCAGCATCTTTGGGAGCCAGATAAAATATTAAATAAAACAAATGAATGTGGATAAAGTTGAGGAACATATATCTTTGAAACTCTAAATGTTTATTAAATAAAACAATAACCTCATTTTGTGAATATGGATAAGATTCTACAATCCTATAGACAAAGTATAATGAATTGAGATAAAAATAGATACTCATTTGGGAAGCAAGCAACAAACTCCTATAATCACAACAACACGTAGGTGTACGGTCCAAATTCAACATAAGAGCATCAAACACATGACACAAAAATGATGAAATATATAAATCTTCTTGACAAACAAGATAAAAATAATAATTCAATAAGTTGCAGGGAAAATAAATAGTAAGTCTCAATAATGCTATCTAGCTACGAAAAGATCTATTTTGGAAAAATAGCTTATTCTGATATCTTGGACATAATATCCTATGTAGCACTGACCGTGTCTGAGTCAGACACCTACACTGCCATTTGTCATTACGTTTAATTTATTCTTTCTTTTTTTAATTATTATCGGTATCAGCATGTCAGTATCGAAATTGTTCTCGGCGTGTCTGTTATTCATAGATAAAACCCTTCATGGTACGCCTGTAAAACGTAGAGGCAATATATGTTACAATTAAGACAGAAAACCAAAGCAAGTATCAATAAAAAGAAAACAGGATGCAAAAAATTAGTGAGTATGCTCTATAGTCGACCAACTATTGAGTATGGCTCATATTGTGGAGATTATTATGGATAGATAATTGGGAAATGCAAGGGATTCAAAGTTATTATAAGATATAACTCAAAAGATATAAATAAAGAGAATTATGAGTGCTCTATAGTCAAACACCTTATTAGTTTGCAACGTTGTAACCATAATTCATAAGATATAAATAAAAGAAATTATAAGTGGTCTATAGTTGAACACCATTGGCCGAACTACATTAACAAAGATATATCGTGTTTATTGTCCTTTACGTTTCTCTTGAATCTTTTATACTTGTTGTTCTAACACCAAATTGTAAGACTATTAATCCTACTAGAGGGATATCACACATTAATCCTCTTGATTTCAACGAAACTTAAATCCTAATTATAGAGGATCCACTTAAGTTGATGTCTAAAACCCAAATAACTTGTAATTTATCCAGTTATGCTAAGTTATATTAAGAGAGAGTAAGGAAAAGAAAAACGAAAAAGAAAGCAAATGGTAAATTAAACAATTGTATTTAAAAGTAGAATGTAGATATACCGGAGGAAAATGACTTTCTTTGCTGACGGTGAGTTTTGAAGAAAAAAGTCTTCTGTTCCATCGGGTTGCGGTAATTCTCGTTGTGTTTCAATTTTGAGTAACTTCAAGTTATGTAAATAAGGGAAATGAATCTTGAATGAATCAGGGATAAAGTTGAGAATCTAAGCAATGAAGAATGAAGGTGTGAATAAAAAAATAATGCAAGCATATTAAAAAAAAAAGAAAGCAACCAAGTTAAAATACCTGGAGAGTCGTTGAAGAGATTGTCAATGATTCGACAAGGGCAAGCTGAGCAAGCCAATCGAATAGAATTGAAGAAAACTTTGGGAGTGTAGTGGGGCATAGTAGTAAATCTATCCGTACATGTTTAATAGAAGATAAAGTGTTGTGGGCAGATAGATTCTGAAAAGGACTACCACTAATATCAAAGCTAGAAAGATTTGGGGTAGATAACTTCAAGTTGTAGTAAGAGCGGTAACGCATATAAAATGATATTGTTAAATTAACAAGGGAGAGACTTGATATGAAGAGGTTGTCTTTATCTTTATAAAGTTGACAATTTCGAATGATCAAAGTATTCAAACTTTGAAATACCGAAAAGGGCTCAGCATTGCCATCTCCAGTAGTGCTGCGAAGGGTGAAGTTTCGTAAAAACAAGTAGGTTAATGCAGGAAGTTTAAGAGAATTTGGAAATACGGCTGGTGGTCCAAGCCACCGTTTCCATTCTTCGCATGCAAAAAGTTTAAGAGAGGTTAAAGTACCATATGAAAAGTTGGTGCAAAGTGGAAACTGTTCAAGACTACAAACTACAGTCATATCTAACCGTTGGATTTTGTGTGAAAATAAATATTTTAGGATCCTTTTAAGTTGCTCAGGGTCAAAATGATTGCGGCACTCAAAGGTGAGAGCTTGCAGAGAGGTTTCGTCATTGCGAAAAGAGAAAAATTGAGAAACGAAACTAGCAAAACTTTTGATAGATTCGAAGTTTCTAAAATGCAAAAAAATATCGGTCATATGTTTCCAGAGATCCTTCCATCTAGTGGAGAGGATGGATATTTCAACAGCTTGACTCATCTTCAAATTAGACAAAATATGAAGTAAAAGACAATCAGGTAAACCACTGATTCTGTCTTTACCATAATACCTTCTCCTTGTTTTCATTCTCCTTACGATTTACCAGGCTGACGACGGCGCCGCTAGGGACCACGGCTAGAATCTCTCGATCAACAACCTAATTAGCAATTTCACCGACAACCAACCAGCGGTTTGCAGTTTGACGGACAAGTATTGATCCACGCCAGAAACTGGAGCGAGACAAAGGCTTCTCTGTTTAACCTAAAGAGTATACTGCGTATTTTCTTGGATATAGAATCTCTCGATGGAGAAGTACAGATCTACCACCAACCTATGGTTTGCAGTTTGATGGAGAAAAGCACAGATCGACGACTTCCCAAAAGTCAACAGAGTGGCGGAGCTAAGGAAGACGTTAGAAACATGTGACAAAATCTGGAACAAGGCAGGGACTTCTGCGTGTTTAACCTAAATTTTTTTGAATAAATAGATACCACACATTGCACATGTGGCAGAATCTGGGATACAAGATTGATCTAACCACTAAATTAGCCTAATAATACTCTTTATCTTTCATGGATTTTGAACTTTAATATAAAATATTTGATAAAAAAATCGGGAAGAAATATAAAAAATACAAGTAGAGAATTCGGGAAAAAAGGTATAAAAAAAGTTTATTTATCTTTAATTTTGATACACATAAAAACAATCAAATTTAAAACAGCACTATTAATAATTATTATTGATCTTATCGGTTATCAGAATCTATAATAGGCCAGTAACTTCGTTGCAGTGCTGAAATCACGGAAGAGAGGGTGTATTTGTAAGACACTCTGATGTCCAAGTAAGTAAGATTGTAGAGATACGTGAAAGAAAAGGGATAATAATTGAATATCTGACCCTCACAAGTGTGAGGGTATTTATGGTGCCCCAGCACTTAGCTATTGGTTCTTATTTTTGGGCCATGATATTTGGCCCAAAGATAGGTAACTGTTAGGATTTCTGCGTGAAAGCATGAACGAGCAACTCGTGCTCATCGTCTTGGAAAGCTCTCTCACGTCTCACGGGAAGAGTCGGAACTAGTCGTTATCACGGGCAGAGCCATAGTTAGGGGTAATAGTGGTATCGTCGACCACATGATCAACCGACCATATATCCCCAGGCGAGGAGTAGATGGGGTTGGTGCCTTCTACTAGGCCTAATGGATTGGGCCATTGCTTTTGGGTTGTCTTAGACGCATTAATGGATTAGGTCGTTCATGATCGTCGGCCAGTCACTAGTCTTGTCAAGAACATAAGTCCCCCAAGTCGTTGATTCTGAACATATGAGCAATGACTTAGAGTCAGCATGTGCGTCGAGGAGGAAATAACTCTTGTTTGTGCCTGTTGATCGAAAACGGGGATGCTTCGCGTAGGAACTCTGTCTAGGCGTTTAAATTTGCCCATAAGTTTCCTTGTTGCTCGTTGGATTGTTTTGAGATTTCCCCTAGGTTGTTCTTGTGATGGAAAATAGAAGTTTTGTCGTTCGTGTTCGACGCCTGGGGAGATGGGAAGCTGATGGAATTTGAAAGAATGATATGTCACGCCCCTCTCAAGCCATGCGTCGCATTAAATGCGCAATGATGGCTAAGGGGCTAGGATTAATGATGACTGTATGTTTCCCTAGGCATGCGCACGTGCCCATAGAGTGGCCTATAAATGGGGGAAGAGGGAAAAGTTTTCAAGGTTTCTCACACTCTTTCTCTCATCTTCTCTCTGCCTTTTGGAGCTTAGTCATCTTCGTTATCGTCACAACAACCATCGGACCATCTCCGTTCATTATTCCATCTCGATTCATCAAGTAGGCTCTTGACTTTTATGACTTGCATGTTTTTACTTAGTTTGAAATTATTTGGTATTGTTTTGAATTTCGCGTTTAGCTCCGATCGGTGTTGGTGTTTGGTGGTGGTTAGACCATTTTCTAAATGTCGGCGTTGGTGAGGACGTTAGTGTCTCGTAGTAAACTTAGGATTTCACGTGAGGTTCATTCCATTGTCACTGTTGTGGCGGTGAATAGGTATTATGCTAGCGAGATTCATGAGTTTCCTGGCGAGATTCATGAATTTCTCATGGAGATTCATGAGTCCCTCAACAGGATTCATGAGTTTCCTGGTGAGGATCATGCATTTTATGATGATTTGTATGATTTTCTGATGAACTTTGTGAAATTCATAGTTCATGTGTCGACGAGCATCTCCCCGCGGAGTTTATGGGCTTGTGTGTCAGGGAGGTCATCCCAGAGGAATCCATGTTTTCCTGGGTCGATGAGGTTCTTCTCTGGAGAAACTATGGCTTCTTGTATCGATGAGGTTCTTCTCTGGAGAAACTATGGCTTCTTGTATCGATGAGGCTCTTCCTTTTGTTTTCTTTGTTGTTGAGTGAGGGATTTGGTCGAGGGCATCTTCCTCATACCTTTCTACGCCTTTTCACTTGATTTGCAGTGGAAGGGTGGATTTGATTTGATATTCGAATTCACTTTCTGGCTCGTGGTGCAGAGGATACTCGCTTGGTCGACGCGATTAATGATCATGTCCTGGCTTGGGTTGGGCATGAACCCAGAGGGATAGCCTCGTGCTTCACTTCCTTCTCAAAAGAAGCTTTTACCCTCGTGGGAGAAGGCGTGCGGGTCAGCCAGAGTATGAGGAGAACTGGGTTGTTTGTTAACCCAAACAAGACGAGTGGATATGTTCGTCTTTCACAATGAGTCTATTTGCGATGTATGAGTTCGTCTTTAAGGATCTGGGGTTGCGGTTTCCCATTAGTGACCTTTAAGTGGCCATCTTAAATCATTTGGAATTAGCGCTTCCCAACAGCATCCGAATTCGATAGCTTTTATTCGGGCCTTCAAGATCGTTTGTCGGTATCTTGAGGTCGGCGCTATGATTCCCTTGTTCTTTTGTTGTTTCCATCTCGAACACTAATCCTCAAACTGGAAGCACGGTTGGGTTTTTCAAAGCGTTCTCAAACTCTGTCCATATGTTTAAGGATGGGTATTACGTAATCCAACATGTCTCAGAGTCGACCCTTAATTTTGTGTTCACCCGGGAGGTAAGGACTGGTCCAAATGGGAATCCCTTTATTAACAAGGAAGGTATGGTAAGAAGGTGGTTAGTCCAGAAGTTCCTTTTTCAGTGGAGTTGTCACCATTTCGACCAGGGAATGAACCACTATATTGTCAAATCAGGCCAGTTGGATTATGACGACCTAGCCAGTTATGATAAGCTTGTGGCTTTCATGGACGGGTTTGTTCCTGCATGTTGTGTGACCAAGAAAGGGGAGGCTATCATCGATGAGGATGGAAAAACCATGCTTGAAGCTCGATATATCAATACCAAAGAGCTCCTCGAATGTCATACCAACGAGGAGGCTTTAGAGCTTTTAGGTAGATATTTTATTTTTAACCTACTTGTGTTGTTATTTTTCTATTTACTGATCTATGTCCATTATTTATCGGAGGTAGGATGTCGGACTTGCAAGACCGTGTGATCAGGGTGGCCGCAACAAGAAAAGTGGAGAAAACAAAGAAGATTCTTAAGAGTCGCTTGGCTGAAATTATGCTTCAGCACCAATTTGGATCTAGGACCGCTTCATCCTCTCACATTGGTGAACAGTCTCCCCCACAACAGGTCACCTTGGCCAGGAAACGGCCTCGTATGGATGGTGAGCAGATATACCTGACCGAGGAAATAACTGATGACAATTATGAGCTTCCGTTTTACTTTCTCCATCGGGGATACTTTGAGGGAGGTTCATCTCTGTCTATCCCTCAGGAAAAGTCATTGCACCTCGAGGGCCTCGATCAATCAGGAAAAAGGAATATTTTGGCCAGGGATGTTGCCGCCATGATAAGGGTCTTGGAGATAGTGGTGGTATACACCAAAGGGGGACCTGCTCAGCTAAAGAGATGAAGAAAGTGTTGACATCCATTGTGGATCTCGAGGAAAATCCAGTTAAGTCATAGTCTGACTTTGAGCATTACAAGGATATGTGCAAGATTTAGGTCGAGCTTGTCACCAACCTGAACGAGAAAAAGAAGGAGTTGGCCAAGTTGACCAAGGACATGTCCACTTTGACGGTTTCTCATGCTGCCTAGAAGAAAAGTCTTGAGGATAAGGTTGCTGCAGCACCCTTGAAGACTTGTGGTGATTAACAAAGAAGATGAAGTCAGTAAGACTACAAGATGTTTTTCCTTAATCTCCATAAAACATTCAATCTTGTAGAAACATTCAGAACACAAGATTTGTTGCTCTGATTGTGTTATTTCTTAGAAACCTTCATGTAAATTGTTTTTGACAAGAAGTTGTTGCTCAAAAGCTTGTCAAGACAATATGTACCTTAAGTAGGAGAAATATGCTTGATAAGAAGCACTCATGTAAATCTCCAGAAAAATGATTCTTTCTAGAATTGGAGTTTCATCCAGTGACTTTATAGTATGTATACTTGAGATGGCTAAGAGGTCTTTCTAGACTCTTAGAGGTTGTTGTAATCTTTCAAGATTAGTGGATTAAGTCCTTTTCTAAGGCAAGATCACCTGAGGAGGGTGGAGAAGATGTAGTCTTAGTTGAGAAGGTGAACTTGTATAAAAATGAATGTGTTCATTACATCTAGTTTTTCTACTTGCTCAAAAGCTTCTACAAACTCTTTAGAAAGGAAAGAAGTTTCTATCAACACGATTAAATCCCCCCTTCCTTGTGTTTTCTCTACCTTCAGTTTTTTCAGGAATAGGTCATATAAAGACATTGTTAGAAAACAACATGTTGTGCTTGCATCCTTTTCACGTAAGTGCTTTTCTATAAAGACAAGATTTGTGTGTTTAACTCAAATAGCACTTGAGTACAGAAGGTGGTGAATACGCAATGTGACACATCTTTGTGTTAGAAAAAACTTCACTTAAGTCTACTTGTTGTAGTTACTTAAAATAACTAGTCATTACTCATTTTCATTGATTGATATAGTTTTCACTTAATCAAAACAAATAAATATGTAGAAGTTCCAAAAGATTGGAGAAGGAACAACATCAAATTTTTAAAACTTTGCCCTTTTGACATGCTT